TTCAATGTTCATGATTTGAGTTTTTGAAGAAATCGTTATCTGGCATTGAACTGCACTCATTGAAAATGTTAATGAGCCAAATCTGGAGAAAATTAAAGAACTCGAAAAACGTAAATCAAACAGCACATCAGTGATTAAATATCAGGCCTTCTTATTTAATCATGTTTCTTTAAACATATTGGTTATGAATCTGGGTTGAGATTACTTACTAAATATATTACACACCGTAACATTTGATCCATCGCCTCCTCTGTCCCCATGGTCTGAATTCACCAAACACAAAGTGTGGTTTTAAGGGAAACATCTATAGCTTTGTGGAAAAAGAATAGATATTATTAAACAATTAGCTTGTAAAAGTTAATCTAGTGTTCCCAGAGGGGAATGTGTCTGCAACCATTAGGCCTCTGTCAGGAATGGTACAGTCCAGATGCTTGGTTTGGTCAGGACCAGAGCTGGGGAATTTTAACTATTGTTCATGTTTTAGTAGTGGAGGAAACTGGAGCCTTCACAGGGAGAACATGCAAACTCCACTCGAAAAGGCCCTGTTCCTACCGGTATTAGAACCTGTCCTGTCTTGATATATCCATTGAGTGTCATGTATTTTACCGACCTGATGGTGTACGTAGTGAGTCAGAGAGCACAGAGTGAGAACACACTTCCTGTGATGACACATGTTTTTGGACTTGAGCACAAGCTGTTCATGGAATAACTTGTTTGGAGTTTGTTTTGTGAACAACACAAGTCCTAACAACTCACCTGAGTTGATCAAATCAATGTATGTTGAAGATTATCTTCCCACAGTCATAGATAAATTGGTGAATTACTGAGTTTATGCAGTGGAACAAGCCTCTGTATGATACCGTGGTACTGTACTGGCACTGATCCAACAGGACCAAAGGCACTGATCCAACAGGACCAAAGGCACTGATCCAACAGGACCAAAGGCACTGATCCAACAGGACCAAAGACACTGATCCAACAGGACCAAAGGCACTGATCCAACAGGACCAAAGACACTGATCCAACAGGACCAAAGACACTGATCCAACAGGACCAAAGACACTGATCCAACAGGACCAAAGGCACTGATCCAACAGGACCAAAGGCACTGATCCAACAGGACCAAAGGCACTGATCCAACAGGACCAAAGGCACTGATCCAACAGGACCAAAGGCACTGATCCAACAGGACCAAAGACACTGATCCAACAGGACCAAAGGCACTGATCCAACAGGACCAAAGGCACTGATCCAACAGGACCAAAGGCACTGATCCAACAGGACCAAAGGCACTGATCCAACAGGACCAAAGGCACTGATCCAACAGGACCAAAGACACTGATCCAACAGGACCAAAGACACTGATCCAACAGGACCAAAGGCAGAACGAGGTGAAAGTGTCCATCGAGTGTCCTCCTCATTAAAGTGCAAATGAGCACTTTTAAAGTCAGAGCAGAGGTGGCATCGTCAAATCAGTGACGGTCACAATCCATGACTGTAGAGGCTGTTGAGCAGATCTGTGGGTGTTCTGCCTGTTTATGCTAATCTAAAATTAAACTACAGTTTTCAAACCGAGCACATGCACTGTCAAACTGGATCCAGAAAGAGCCGGTGTTTGCAGGTTTTAGTTCCAACCTGAACAGGAGCTCAATTACGTGTGTATTAAATGTGATCATGTGTATTGCACGTGCGTTAGCGCTCGAGTGTGTGCTAATATTACTTTTCTACATTTTCGTGCTTTCTGTGACCATTTTCAGAATGCCCACAGAAAGCAAAGGTGATGTCACATTATTTTCATAGACGCAGATTGGCGTCATAACGTCTGTTAGTATTTACAGTCTATGGTTAAAATGGACTCACCTGAAGAAATGGGTGGAGTCTGCAGCTCCTGCTTGGGTTGGAATGAAAACCTGCAGCTGCACCAACCCTTTGGTTTGAGACGACGCAGTCCATGTCTGTTAGTCTGTTAGAGATTTTTGTGTAATTTTAATTAGTATTTTTTTATATTATTTGTCTGTGGAGTGTTGCTAGATGCTATAGCTAACACAACATGGAGGAGCTACAGAGAATACAGTTTAGAATGTCGCACAGACTTACTCACAAAACCTGACGAGAGCCAGACATACTTATGTTGTGTTGCTGTTGAGTTTTCTGCAGGCGTTGGCACAACTTTTTATGTTATGTCAATTTTAATTGTTTATGGTGTATTAATTTACTTGTTGTCTGGCCCCCGGATCATGGACTTTCTGATTGATAAAGCGCTGGAGGGCGGGACATCGAAATGAAAACAAAAACAAGATTTAGAGGCTGGAAAAGTAATTTTGAAATATCTCTGAACTACTGTTATCAGTTATAAAAGTATTGGAAAAGAGCATGTTTTATTAATGCATTTTTTGGGCCATTTAATGATGACATGAAAATCTTACATATTGCTTTAACATTAGCTCATAACTCAAACCAGATAGTAAAGTCCAAACATTAACATTCATAACTATTCTCTATGATATATTCTCATACATTTTCATATTAGAAGTAAAGAAGTAAATGGTGTTCATTGAAAGTTAATGGAAGATAAAGTAAGTAGGAGCAAAGCATGAAGCTAAGCGGTTCCGTGCCATCTGTGTCGAGTGCACCATCCTTGAGTTGAAGAGGTCTGAGCTCTAATCTCCCTAAAGTATTTTGAAAAACTCAGAGGATAAATCAGTCTAACTGTATTAAAAGACCTCCAGACAGTGCTGCACTCACTGAGCACAGTGCGATGAGTTTGTTACATGAACAAAAACATTTTTCTGTATTTTGTGATGAAGGGTTCGCCCACATGTATCTCAAAGATTATGTTTTTGCTTTGCCTGAGAAGTTGCAATGTTTGGCATTTAAAGATGCTATACCCGATTTATTTTCTAATGAGTTCATAAAAATCCTTATTACTACATACAAGTTGTATTATAATTCTTAATATAATTGAAAATTTGAGCTCATAAATAAAGTGCTGAAAAGAGACTTAGCGTGACGCCCGCTCTCCTCCAATCACAGAACGAGGCTGCGTCCTCTAGCCTCTACAGCGATGCTAAACACAGTAGCATGTTAGCATAAGTGGCTATAACTCCTCTGGCTGTAACTGCAGACACAGCAAAACAGCCCAAACCACACAACAGTGAGGAAGAGAAGAGGAACTAAAGCCACAACATGATCAAAGAAGAAACCAAGCCCTGAACAGAGCTAGCTTACATCGTATCCTCTGGAGAGACCTGCGGGACCGCCTCGGACTATCTACGCTCGGACTATCTGCGCTCGGACTATCTGCGCTCGGACTATCTGCGCTCGGACTATCTGCGCTCGGACTATCTGCGCTCGGACTATCTGCGCTCGGACTATCTGCGCTCGGACTATCTGCGCTCGGACTATCTACGCTCGGACTATCTACGCTCGGACTATCTACGCTCGGACTATCTGCGCTCGGACTATCTGCGCTCGGACTATCTGCGCTCGGACTATCTGCGCTCGGACTATCTACGCTCGGACTATCTACGCTCGGACTATCTACGCTCGGACTATCTACGCTCGGGACTATCTGCGCTCGGACTATCTGTGCTCGGACTATCTGCGCTCGGACTACCTACGCTCGGACTATCTGCGCTCGGACTATCTGCGCTCGGACTATCTGTGCTCGGACTATCTGCGCTCGGACTACCTACGCTCGGACTATCTGCGCTCGGACTATCTGCGCTCGGACTATCTGCGCTCGGACTATCTACGCTCGGACTATCTGCGCTCGGACTATCTACGCTCGGACTATCTGCGCTCGGACTATCTGCGCTCGGACTATCTGCGCTCGGACTATCTGCGCTCGGACTATCTGCGCTCGGACTATCTGCGCTCGGACCATCTACGCTCGGACTATCTACGCTCGACTATTGGGACCTTAATTCCAATCTTTATCTCAAGCTTAATTGTTTAAACATAAATAAAATGTTGAATAATATATAAAGCAGCAGAGCAATGAGCGCGACTGAGGCTTAGAAGCTTTACATGCACCACCGAGGGATTTTATTGTCTTAATCTGGCCCTCGGACCAGGATTTGCCCACACGCTGTTTACGCTGTGCATTTAATAAAAGACACTACTGAGAGCAATTATAACATCAATGGGGTTTTGAAAGACCCGTCACCTGTGGAGAACGTACCAATGTCCACAGAGCTCCGTGTGTTTGATGGTTTCCCTTTGTCCGGGCAGCGTGGCTCTGCGAAGGTCAGTGCCTCACACCAGACAATTATTAAAGAAGAAGCAGAGGCTGTGGTTTAAGGACGTCTATTCCTCTAAAAGTTATTCAGCCACAACGAAAGGTGGGCTATGCTCCATATTTATGAAATGGGCTCAGTGTGAAATTGTTTTTTGCCTAATGGATCCCTGCTTGGGTGGCCGTCCTGAGTCACGAGTTTATCACGAGAGAACAGAGAGAGAGAAGTATCAACTGCAAATGAAAAAGTGAGATATTTTCATTTTTTTATCTTCTAAAAAGCGTTCCATTGAACTACAAAACTGTTAATCTTGTCGCCATATAGTGAACTTCTTTAAAAAATACACATTATTTTAGTGCATTGAAAGTACAAAAAGGACAAAGATTCCACCTCTAATTATACAAACAAACAACTATCACCAAGCATTTGTAATTTTCACCCACTGAATTAGATTTTTATATATTTTCCACTGTGTTTTTCACTCACTAAATCAAAAGAAGCATCATTTAATCCTTTCCTGAAATGTGTGTCTCAGTGTAATCTTACAGTGGAGACATTTACAGTCGTTGACCTTGTTTTAAATGTGTTCAATCTGTTCATGTCTTTGAACATATCTCTGCAGCATTTTATCTGGACACAAAACGGCCCTTTGTAAACGCCCTCAGATTGAAGAGAAATGGGCTTTTGGGAGCATAATAGGAGAAAGTACAGAGTGGGGAGGAGGCTGGGTGTAGCTGGGCAGTTGTGAGGGGAGGTGGTAGGATGGATGAAGGTTGGCTGGAGCTGTCAGTCTCGTCTCCTCCTTGTCTTTCCTCATCCATCGTGTGCGTGCTGACAGCAGTCTCCCAAGCAGAACCGCAGCTCCTCGCACGTAATTCATATTCCCAGCAGCCTCCCCCAGCCACCACATGGGGAGGCGACTGGGGAGAGGGGAGGCTTCAGAGACCACAGGGACGTATAGGTAGCAGTGTGAGTGACAGAGGACAGGTAGATGGACGGGTGCGTAGGGGGATTGCATAAACTCAATGGACGGCTTAGTGTTGTTGATGTATCTCGGATTTACACATGCTCAGCACAGGATACAGTTCGTGGATCATAATGTCTGAAAGAGCTGCACTTTTGTTGCCATTGTGATCATTCAAATGCAACACGTTTCTGTTTTATAGGGCCAAAGATTGTGTTTGTTGCTCTTTGAAAATCCATGACTTTAGATAAAGCAGAAAAAATCACTACGTCCAAACAGTGGTTCCAATAGTGCTCACAAACCTGTCCTTCAGCCATGACCTGTTTTTCCAATGTGACAAGCCCCCTCCTCTTGTCAGTATCTGTTCTTTGTGAATCTTCCATAGAATTACAAATAAATCTCCGTCAGACAAAAAAGAAAGTGGGCTTTTTTGGGGTATTGCAGTGATATTCTATTGAGAATAATACACAGAAATGACGAGGCTGTCTCAAGGCTGAGAAAAAGGTCCATGCACCAAACAGACTTCTCTGTGTAGGGCTGCTTATGTTGTAGACAGGACATAACCGTGTGCAGGTACAAGGACAGCTCTCTGCCCTGTTCCGGTAAATGTGCTCTTTTTGTGACATACAAATGAGCCATCCAGTCCAGGGCCATGGCTCTATAAAAACAGACTAGAAATATTCACCAATAAATCATTTCTTTTTTCTGTTTTTTAAGAGGGTACTTCACAGACTTTGTGCAATGAAGGACACTTCTTTCACTGCTCAGTTCTGTTCGTCTGCTCTGAGTGCCCTGTGGAGCAGCAGAAGATTGGCAGGGCTCCACTTTGGTGCATGGTGCCTGTCTCTGGCACAGAGCATGGCACTGGTGAGCCTTGAACCTCCTACCAGGCACACATGTTACATGCGTGATGCCAGAACTGGTATTTCCGCACCCCTGCTACACACGGCATGAACACAGCAGATAGTCCCTCTGTCTACCTGTGTCCTCCTCGCACTATCCCCCTTTGCAAAAATGAAATGTCTGTCTATCACACAGGCAAATAAGCAGCGACATGCACACTTTGAACACGAAGACACACAGCTCTCACAAGGCCTCAAAACAAACTGACAGATGCTTGTATCCGGGCAAACAAACACCCATCACAGCGCACAAAAGTCATCAGACTACATCAGTGTAAAAAGCTCACTAAATGTGGCACTGATGCTTTGTATTCATAAAACTCTTTGTCCCTCGAGTGGGAGCGACAATAGACTTTGTAAAATACTCACACTTCACAAACACGATGTCATGATGGACGGCTGGATGCACCCGCCCTAGAGACCCCTGCTCCTGCCCCAGAGACCCCTGCACCCGCCCCAGAGACCCCTGCACCCGCCCCAGAGACCCCTGCTCCTGCCCCAGAGACCCCTGCTCCTGTACCCGCCCCAGAGACCCCTGCTCCTGTACCCGCCCCAGAGACCCCTGCTCCTGCACCCGCCCCAGAGACCCCTGCTCCTGCACCCGCCCCAGAGACCCCTGCTCCTGCACCCGCCCCAGAGACCCCTGCTCCTGCACTCACCCCAGAGACCCCTGCTCCTGCACCTGCCCCAGAGACCCCTGCCCCTGCACCCGCCCCAGAGACCCCTGCTCCTGCACCTGCCCCAGAGACCCCTGCTCCTGCACCTGCCCCAGAGACCCCTGCCCCTGCACCCGCCCCAGAGACCCCTGCTCCTGCACCTGCCCCAGAGACCCCTGCCCCTGCACCCGCCCCAGAGACCCCTGCTCCTGCACCTGCCCCAGAGACCCCTGCCCCTGCACCCGCCCCAGAGACCCCTGCTCCTGCACCCGAGACCCCTGCTCCTGCACCCGCCCCAAAGACCCCTGCTCCTGCACCTGCCCCAGAGACCCCTGCTCCTGCACCTGCCCCAGAGACCCCTGCCCCTGCACCCGCCCCAGAGACCCCTGCTCCTGCACCCGAGACCCCTGCTCCTGCACCCGCCCCAAAGACCCCTGCTCCTGCACCTGCCCCAGAGACCCCTGCTCCTGCACCTGCCCCAGAGACCCCTGCCCCTGCACCCGCCCCAGAGACCCCTGCTCCTGCACCCGAGACCCCTGCTCCTGCACCCGCCCCAAAGACCCCTGCTCCTGCACCTGCCCCAGAGACCCCTGCTCCTGCACCTGCCCCAGAGACCCCTGCCCCTGCACCCGCCCCAGAGACCCCTGCTCCTGCACCCGAGACCCCTGCTCCTGCACCCGCCCCAAAGACCCCTGCTCCTGCACCTGCCCCAGAGACCCCTGCTCCTGCACCCGCCCCAGAGACCCCTGCTCCTGCCCCCGCCCCAGAGACCCCTGCTCCTGCACCTGCCCCAGAGACCCCTGCCCCTGCACCCGCCCCAGAGACCCCTGCTCCTGCACCTGCCCCAGAGACCCCTGCCCCTGCACCCGCCCCAGAGACCCCTGCTCCTGCACCTGCCCCAGAGACCCCTGCCCCTGCACCCGCCCCAGAGACCCCTGCTCCTGCACCCGAGACCCCTGCTCCTGCACCCGCCCCAAAGACCCCTGCTCCTGCACCTGCCCCAGAGACCCCTGCTCCTGCACCCGCCCCAGAGACCCCTGCTCCTGCACCCGAGACCCCTGCTCCTGCACTCACCCCAAAGACCCCTGCTCCTGCACCCGCCCCAGAGACCCCTGCTCCTGCACTCACCCCAGAGACCCCTGCTCCTGCACCCGCCCCAGAGACCCCTGCTCCTGCACCCGCCCCAGAGACCCCTGCTCTGGGGTGACCGCCTGTTGGCTTCATTTATTGATTTTTTCCCCACTATTATTTATGTAATAATCATTTTCACTGTGCCTGGCCTCCGTTTGAATACATCCTCATATTTATAGTTTTGGATTCAGCACCAGGGTAAACTTCTGTCCACCGCATGGAGGGAATGTCAGGTTTTGTCTAATAGTGCACAGTTGTTATTTTACATTTTAAAATATGCACAATGAGAGAAAACCTCCGACGTAGTTAATGAACAGTCTGAACGTGTTAGTCGGTGTGGCGGCTGCGCTCCGGGTGGCGGCCACAGATGATTGAATTAAATCACAATTATGAACGCTTTTCGTCATCGCTCTACCTGCTGTGACAATGATGAGGAAGAGATTAGGCTACAACCCTCAGTCACGTTTAGAAAACACAAAGATTAATGGAAGACCTGTGTAGAATCTAAACACGTCACACGCTCGGGGCTCGCCTGTGGCACCTGCACAACACCAACACACTGCATTAGTTCTACATGTTTGTTACCCTCTAATTCCCTCATATTTGTTTTAGTGCTCAGACAAATCATGTTTTCACCAACGCCACATGTTTTTTTTCCACTTGGTGCAAATACACATTTCTGGAAAATGAGGTCAGCCAATCATGTTTTATATCCACAAGTGTCCACATAGGTTTGAGACGTACATATGACCTTTATCCAAGGCTGTTTAGCGAGAAATGATGTTCTCACAAGAAACCATGTCAATTCTTTATCTGATGCTGATAATGGCACTGGAATAGAAGATCTGCTTTATTACGCCTCATTTTTGGTAAAACTAGAAGCGATTTGTTCTCTGCATATTCTTCACAATTGTTGATTTACATTTAATTATGTTGATATTTTTTGTTATAAAAGAAAAGCATTGTCTTTGTTTGAAAATCTGGAACAAAAATAGTCCTGTAATGAAAACAATGCTCTGTGCTGAAGACGTAGTAAAGTAAGTAATCTTTAGTAATCTTTAGTAATCTTTATTTATATACCGCCTTTTCACTGCACATCGGAGTCTCAAAGCGGTTTACAATTGTGATTTTTGGGAGTGGGGCCAGTACAGGAGGCACATGCCAGACCTATTGTACATATTTTTAGTGGTAGGGGAAACCGGAGTACCCGGAGGAAACCTACGCAGACACGGGGAGCACATGCAAACTCCACTCAGAAAGGCCCTGGTCCAACCGGGATTCGAACCCAGGACCTTCTTGCTGAGAGGCGAGAGTGCTATCCACTCAGCCACCGTGCCGCTTGTCAATCATCCGCTGTGTACAGCTTATAAAGCTGTCAGCGCTGACACTGACGGAGAGAAAGCCCCGCTGAGCCGTGCCACACTCTACTGTACGTCTGTTCTTCACCTCCAGTGACATCCATTATGGACCGACAACTTTATATTTAAAACAAAAACTTTATTCCACACAGAGCCTTCGATGATTTATGACCTCAACTGTGAAACTTACCATAATTACTATCTTATTGTTTATTCCACTTAGACCTCTTTGCACTGAGATCCCCAGGGCTCCACTCTTGGCCCTTTGCGTTTTGCCTTCTACCTCTTCCCGCTTAGTGACATTTTTAAAAACATGGCATGTCTTATCACTTGTATGTTGATAATTCTCAGATTTACATGCCAATAATGAAGAATCACAGCCCCTGACACTCCTACTCAACTGTCTCTGTGACGTCAAGGGTTGGTTTGCCCAAAATGTAGAAAACTTCATTAGTCGACAACTGCCACTTCACTGCAGCCCATGTGGTTTCTTACATGCAGAGTAAATTACAGACTATAACTACCAAAACCTTTTTATTAACAAAGCCTTTACCGAATATGTACAAGCACCTGAGGTAATTTGAAAGGAATCGTTGAAAGCAAAACACCTTGTGAGTGACCTAAACCTCTCAGCGCCTCCCATACAATGTTTAAGTAATAATAATATTGATAATAATAATAATTTTACTCACACAGTCTCACAAAGCAATGTTCGATTATTTTCCTCAAGATTAAAAACTGTTTTTTGCAGTCTTTTTTTGGGCACTACAGCGAACTGTGGAGATAACATAAATTAACCCAGTTTTGCAGAGGGAAAGTGGTTAAAGAGGAGCTTGAGGATGAAAAAGAGAAGGTGCCGTTTGCACTCAGCCGAGTCTATGACATAATTTCCCCTGCCTGTCTTCACTTTGACTTACGTTTAAGTGAGTTGAAAGAAAACCTGCAAAGGCACACCTCAAAGATGATGAATAAAATGTAAGAAAGAGGTGAAATGCTGGAAAGCATCTTTTCCAAGTAATTGGAGAAATCTGGGATTTGACGTATAATGCATCAGATAGTTAGGCACGTTCTTCACATCTCTCCCTGAACAGAACACACATAAATGCAGAGGAGCAAATTGTGCACGGCTATTTTAAGTTTGAAAATGAGTCTTGAATAACTAAGACTCTTTAAAACTTGTTTTGTTTGACATATTGGAGCAGTCTTGGGAATTAAAATAGTTTAAAAGCCTCTTTGATCATGGTTCTTATGAAAACACACTTCCTACATGCATTCATAAACCAAATTATGAGGGGAAAAAAGTTGAAAGAACATTTTACTCTGGGAGCACGACCTGCAGGCTGTTTGAAAAGGTGTTTTTATTTGATGTAGTGCTCACTGCCCATTGCTATGTCCACGCAGTTGTCTGTTTTATCTGCACATATTTATTTGTGTGAAAATTAATCCAACACGACTGTTTCGTGGCCTAGTGAAGTCGCCTTTTTTCCTCAAAGTTGAATGAAACCGACTGATGCATCAGGCGTGCGGTGAGGCCCCTTCCTCCGCATTGTGATACTCGGTTATCTGCAGTTGTGTGTGCGTTACTTAAAGCCCTTTACTACATGCCATACTATGTTTTACCATGGTTTGTGAGATTAACGATAACATATTTGACAGAACAGACTAGAGAAGAGACTTTTCATACAATAATGAACAGAGCATGGGCATTACGACACTATCCAGAAGTGAGTTTTGGTTTTCTAGAAGTTGAAGCAAACATATCCATTGGCAGTGGCAGATTCTTAGAGCCACTGGTGTATTTGCCTTGGTATAAAACCATCTCAACGCCGTTAATAAAACATGTCTTCTGCACAGACACAATCCCAGACTTCTGCAACTTTTGTCATTTTGTTCATATCTCTTGGTGACGTGTTTGGCGGCTGGAATCTTGACAAGAGAATCTTCTGTAGAGGGGGACTGCTGTCTTTTGGTTTTGTTACTTGTGCCTTGTCATTTATCATCTATTTATGTATTGATATGGTGCAGGAGATTGGCATTCATGAGACCGAAGATGTAAATCTAAACTGCAAATTAATCTACTTTTTGGTCAATCTGGAACCTTGCCCCTTGTCAACACTCACCTGTGTGTGTCTAAAGGTTAAACTGGGCCATCGCTGGACCTTTATTGGTAACGCTTTATATTAAGGTGTGCTTATTAAGTATTAATAAGGTATTAATAGACATTAGCAACATGCTTATTGATTGCTTATATGTACTTATCAACATATTAATAAGCTGCTCATTTCACTATTCTCTAAAGGATGTTGTTCTAGTTATGTGCTTTTAAGCATTTAATAAGTAATTAGTAAGATACTTATTAAAGGAGGAATATGTTTATAAATATATGAATAAGCTGCTTATTAAACTATTATCGATACCATGTTAATAGGCCACTAACAATATGCCTATAAAGATATTAATACGCTGCTTATTAATAGGCAATAGTGGTAATAGGCCACTTTTTTTTTTTTGCTGATAAACGGTATAAATGAGTGTCCAATAGTGTTGTCTAAATATCCTGGTCATAATTTTGTCACTTTGGTGCAAATTAGTTGAAAGTTAAACTTTCTGCCTAAAACCATCTGTGAGGCACCATCTGCTGGCGACCTGTATTACTACATTTGAATTTTGAATCTGGCGCCTGAGACCTGACGTCAGCAGCCCCCCGCCCAGAGCAATGTAAACGGCCCAGTCTCGTTCACGCCTCCTTTAGTCCTCCAGGCTACGCCCATTTAGAGGAAGATTTGAACAGGAAATGTGAGTGACGTAAGCTCCGAGGAGCGGGGGTGAGAACCACTTTAAAGAAAACTGAAGGATTTAAGAAGAAAAAAAAGTTCAGGATGACAAGGGACACTAAAATCCCCAGAAAATCCGAACTTTATGAAAGCTGTGGGTTCTCTGTCAGCTGAGGTCGAGCTGTTTTAATTTACATTGAGTTCTATGGGACTTTTTTCTGGGTAGCCCTCGTGAATTTAGTCTGCAGTACCACAGCGCCCCCTGTGCCCATGGGTGGGACAGCTATAAGCTAGGAATACACTATCCAGTTATTATTATAGTTCCATGGTTGTGCCACAGGTGCGTTGTACATGGATCTATTATAATAACTGGATAGGGTATTAATAGCTTGTAGCTCGGGAGATTCTCGTGGTACTGCAAACTAAATTCACGTGGGCTACCCAGAAATTGTCCCCATAGAACTCAATGTAAACTAAAACAGCTCGACCTCAGCAGACAGAGAACCTACAGCTTTCATAAAGGTCGGATTTTGTGGGGCTTTTAGTGTCTCTTGTCATCCTGACCTTTTTTTCTTCTTAAATCCTTCAGTTTTCTTTAAATCCACATTTTACTGCCACAAACTCTACTCGTCTAACTCCCACTCTGATCAGCAGCTCTGATTGGTCAGAGCGCGGCCCCTATGTGCACGTGAATGACAGCCACGCACGCGTATTTGGCGCAAAGCATCATGGGAGCTCGTCAACTGCGCAGAACCGGTAGGACCAGACAATGCCCAAAAATAGGCGAGTTCCGCTAATAGGGGTGTGACAATACTTTCTCCCGCGATTCGATTATCGATATGCATTTGCCAAGTATCAATATCAATAAAAAAATTAAAAAAAAAATGTTTTTTTTCTCTCCTTTTTTCGTTTTTATTGGTATCAATACTTAATATATGGCTACATTACGCATTTCCATTCTATTTATCATGAAATAAAGAGTATTTTTTATTTTATTTATGCCATAAATTGGCATATTGTATATTTCTGACCAATATATCAATAATCGTCATATTGTGATAAAATCGTTATTGTAATCTTTATCGTGAGCTTTGTATCGTGTATCGTATCGTATCGTGAGGTACCCTTAGGTTCCCACCCCTGTCCGCTAATCTCTCAGGCTCGTGAAGTCAGCTGATTCACTGTTTTGCCAAAGCCAAATTCATGAACAGAGCAGGTCGGAGCATGAGTGGGTTCATCATGG